CCCTGGGGGGGCTGCTGCCATCGACCCCGACGTCTCTCTGATGGCGTTTGTGCAGGGCCATGCGCGAAGCATCGATGCGCTCCCGAAGGTCAGCTCCGTGCCGGTGGCAGCTGTCTCGCTGTCCCCGGAGGCGTGCTGTCGCCCAGTTGCAAGGCTGCGGGGCCGGGGCGTTAGCGGAGAGGTTTCCCGAGGCTCGGAGGAGCTTTGCGGGCGGCTCCCAGCCCACCCGCATCCCGCAAGGCTCCTCCACAGCCACTCCGCGATGTCTCCCCAAACGGCGAGAGCCGATTTCGAGCCCAGGCTTGTCAGTTATAATTAGGAGCATCTTCTCCCCGGCGCGTTGCTTTGCATTTCACATGGGATTTTTACCTGCCGTCTTGTCACTGTCACCCAGGCCTGTGAAACCTTGCTGCAAGTCTCTGGAGTGACGTTAGATCTGATTACCCAAATAATTCTGTATCATCAGCAGGCTACAGAGACATCGCTCCTTTTCCAGGCATTTATGGATATATTGAACACGTGCGTCCCTGCGGGCTCTGCCAGGACCTCCTGCCCTTGCCCTCCAGCGCTGAATGAGTATTTAGCAGAGAGAGCAACCTCCCTCGCCCCAGGGCAGGTTGATATCTTTAAGAGGCGCTGGTGAGCGACATGTCTAATTTTGGGGGTAAGGCTGTTTGCAAGCCGGCTGGCTGGTCTGTGTCCAGGCCCTGAACCATAGTCCTGCATCTGAGGCTGGAGTGGTGGTCCTGTGTCCAAGCCTGGAGTTGTAGTCCCATGTCTGAGCCATGGTCCCACCTCTGAGCCCAGAGCTGCGGTCCCACATCCTAGCTGTGGTCCCACATCTGAGCCTGGAGCTGTGGTCCCGCATCTGAGCCATGGTCCCCCATCCAAGACACGGTCCTGCATCCAAGACCAGAGCCACGGCCCCACATCTGAACCGTGGACCCATGTTTGAGCCTGGAACCATGGTCTCACATCTGAATCATGGTCACACGTCCAAGCCCAGAGCCATGGTCCCACGTCTGAACCATGGTCCCATGTCCAGGCTGCAGTGCTGTGTCCAAGCCTGGAGCTGCGGTCCCACATCTGAGCCTGCTGGGTCAGGGAGAGGCTCTGGGAGATGCTCAGAGGAGCCGTGGTGATGGACCCCTGAGCTCCCCATGCCAGCGCTGCCTAGGGACCCATTCACCTGTGGGTGGGGGTCCGAGGCAGCCAGCACCCTCGTGTCAGGGCGCCCAGGAGGGAGCAGGCTGGGGACCAGCATGCCACCGGCACCCTGGGCATCGCTGCCAGGTGGCCCCCAAGCCCACTGTGTCTCATAAGTAGGTTGGGACCCCACTGAGCGTCCTGCTGGGCAGCACATCCCAGGGCACCCATGGATGTCCCGAAGATGTGTGGGAGGAGGCTGCCGAGGCCTGTGCTGGTCTCTCCTCTGAAACCACGCAGGTGCCGGGGCGCAGGGGTGGCAGCGTGGGCTGGCCGGCCTCACGAAGGGAGAAGGAAAATGCCCCAGAGCCATCGACGGGAGGGAGAGCTGGGGCAAGGGGACCATGCCTTCGGGGTGCCGACCCCCGCTCGTGGCTCTGCCCCTACGGCTGCCCTATCCCTCCTCCAACCCCCATCCCTGCCCCATCCCTTCTCCGGCCTCCTTCCCTGCCCCATCCCTTCTCCGGCCTCCTTCCCTGCCCCATCCCTTCTCCGGCCTCCTTCCCTGCCCCATCCCTCCTCCAACCCCCATCCCTGTCCCAACTCTACCCCTATTCCTTCTCCAGCCCCCATCCCTCCTCTGACCCCCCTCCCTGCCCCATCCCTCCTCCAACCCCCATCCCTGCCCCTTCCTCCACCCTGCCCATCCCTGCCCTGTGCCTCTGCCAGTGCCCCATCCTGGGGCTGGTGATCCCAGCGTGGGTGTTGTAGCAGGCATGGGCTCGAGGCCGGGACATAGGACACAGGACCGAGATGGAGAAACCAGGATGCAGGGCTGAGGCAGGGACACGGGAGGGAGGAAGGGAGACGGGGTGGCTGCGGGGGTAACGCGGGTGTCCCCCGCGCAGGTGCGGGCCAGCGCCATCGCCCAGGACGCCGACCAGAACTACGACTACGCCAGCAACAGCGTCATCCTGCACCTGGACGCGGGTGACGAGGTCTTCATCAAGCTGGACGGCGGCAAGGCGCACGGCGGCAACAACAACAAGTACAGCACCTTCTCGGGCTTCATCATCTACTCGG